AGCCCAGTTCCTTGTGCGAGATCGGTGTCTCGCAGCATTATTGTTAGGGATCTGGTTATTAACTCCTTCTTACTAGGTAACTTCAGCCCTTACTCCTGCCTCTCCCGTGAGGTTTTGGAGCCATGAGCACTATTTTGTGAGAAGCTCTCTATAGTCGGGCTCTTAATTTTGCTTCATTTTTTAAATTCTTTTTTTTTTTTTCACTGCATGCTTCTCCTCCCTTTAAAAAGTCACCAGGGAAACAATGGGTAGGTAAAGAAAACTTAATTTACTTTCGTTTCTAGTTCCTGAACAGGTGAAAGCACATAATATACTTGAGCCCTTCCCTTTTTATATAGAAAAGGAAAAAATCGACTTAGTTTGCAATTAGCTTGTTAAGTGCAGCTTATGCATGTGTTTCTATAAGTGAGGAATCACTGTAGATCCACACTTGGATTTCTAAGTTTGCTCCATCAGAACTGCATCCCTTGGAGAAGCTATCAGCGATGGCTATTCTGCATTTTTTTTTCCATTTACTTAATTGCAAAGCAACCGCCAAATTTCTTGACCTGAAACATCTGGTTTTGTTCTGCAAACAGGGCATGAGTAGTCAGGTTTATTTAGAAATGTAGAGTGTACAATGACTGATGTTAACCCCCCACCCCCCCAAAAAAAGGAGAAAAAAAAGAAAAACAGGAAAGAAAATGGCTTTAAGAATTTAATTGTAGTGCTTGCAATAGATTGGTTACCTTTGCCAAGTAACTCTTGATGGAGTAAGAAAAATAGTTAACAGCGAGGTACTAAGTAAGCTTACTAAGCTAAGTAAGCTTAGTATTTCGCTTGTAGTAAAGCTTGTAGTAAAGCGAAACAACTGCTTTGATAACCTGAAAATAACTTTACATATTAAATTTGTTTTGAGGGACTTTATCTCTGCGTACTTGGTTGGAAGGCACTTACTTGTGTGTAAATGTAGGTCAAGACACCCTCATGTTGCTGATAAGGTTTTTGCTAAATTGGAGGCTCGCATTTACGATAGTGCTTCCGACTCTGCTTTAAAAGATTACGGATAGCAAATTATAATCTTCTTGGTTTCAAGCTTAAGAACAACATGATGCTGTGTTGTGCTTGCTATTTTTTTCCATTTTTTAACTTAAAATTATTGGTTGTAGTGTAGTCCTGTGTTGTTACCAGTAAGGTAGTTCTTGGATTTTTCAGTGTTGATTGATGATTTGATTTAGGCAGACATGGGGGATTTTAATTGGATGCTTTTATCTTTTTAAAGGGAGGAGATGCACTTCAAAAATCCAGAGAATATAAATACCTACATAACTTCTAAATAGCCTGTGGTCTGAGTGTTGACTACATGATTCCATGAGGATGTAGGAATTTGTGTACTTTTGTTTTCCTATTTTTCCCCTTCTTTTTTGTGTAGTTGTTCAGATATTTTGGAGGGAATGGGTGCTTAATTTCCCTGAAAGGGAGTATATTGCTTATGGTCTGCAGAAACTTGTGCCTGCAGAAACTTTAGTGGTCTGGAAGGGTGCAGATATCAGCACGTTTATACCCAAAAATCTTGCTCCTTGGTATAGGTGATTTTAAGCATGTAAATGAAATAGTCTAAAACACTCTTGCTAAAGATCCTTCCAGGTGGGAAGGTGTTTTTTGAATGTGTGGAGTAGTGGTGACCTGATGAGTCAAAAATATTTAGCGGTAGGGATAATTTTATTGCTTAAATAGAACCACTCAAAAAACAAATAAAATACAAGCCTGGCAAATAACCTGATAACCGATGGGCTGTAGCCTTTGCTGATTTATGCTTCCCATTTGTGCAAATGTATCCCTGGTGAAGCTTCTGTTAACGTGGCTTGAAATATTTATCTTTAGAGTATTGCATTCAGACAAATGCTAACATACCAATACAATCCTCTTAGTGCTAGCAGGACTGATTTATCAATTTTAATGGCATTGCACATGTGCTTAATGGGAGAGATTTTCTTAGAAACTGCTCTTAGAGCCTGGAATGGAACCTGATTGCAGGGGATTTTTCTCCCTTTAAATAAATAATAATAAAAAAAGGCACTTCTACTTTCAAAATGGGAGGAATTAGTCCTGTGACAATGTTGCAGTACTGTGACTGGAACTAAATGACATGTAGAGCTACTGTGTCACAGCGAGTGTCACAGTGATATTTATACCACGAAGTTGCTGAATTCTGGCTTCCTTGTCAGGAACCCCCTTGTTAAAAAATTCCAGCTATTAGAGGAGTATTTATGCACCTTTGTAGAAAAGCTGTGTTCTGGATTGATGACCATTTAAATCTAAGTGATCACGGTAATCAATCCAATTATTTGATTGCAACAAATTATGTTTGACGCTGAGATTTGTGAGTAGAGCTCTATTCTGGCAGCACTCTTGAGCATTCACGTGCTCACAGGGCACGGCGTAGTGCAGCACAGAACAGAAATGCTGTAAATCTACTAAATTCTGCTTTGAAATATTTCTCCTTTTTAATTTAACCCTTAGAAACTGGCATTCCTTCCTGTTCGGGGTTCATGAGATGTGCAAATGAATGCAGAAGGCTTGTACGGAAAACTTGGGCTCGCATTTGAAGCACTAGCAAATTATTTACTTGAAAACCACATGCACTTTTTCTAATAGTCTTAAGTCAGTCCCTTTAGCGGTTTCACAAAGGGAGCAGCTACAAGAATCGCTGCTCCTACCTGTTCTCCCTGACACTGTGTTTCACTGGTGTCTAACGTGGCACCAGGATCACGCTCTGGTGTCTAATAACATGTGGCATGTGGAGCGGTTCTTGGATGCTTATTTGTCTACAGACAGTGAGATGGGAATAAATGCATTTCTATTCAGATAAGTGTTTGTCTAGGTGTAAATAGATCATGAAAACTTGCCCCAAGTAGCAGCTATTGGGAGTTCATTTTTCCCTCAGAGATACTTCTATAGAAATGCAAGCTCTTTGGAAAGCATGAGCAATTTTTAGTGCTTCAAATACTAAGTTGGTAGAGGGTATCCAGGCAGAATTGAAATGACAGATTCTAATGTCAGCAAAACTGATTTGAAAGAAGTATCGATTCCATGTTGTATTTTATATCCGAAGCAGCCAATGGTGAATGTTGTCAAAATGGAATCAGATGTTTGTAACTTAATACTTAAGAAAAATGATGAGTGCATGTTTCTGACTTGAAGCATTCTCCATGCTGCCTAGCTTAAGACATAAACTGATGTAAAAATAAATGACTGCCTGCATAATTTATGTAATGTCTTGCTCCCTGATCCTGTTTGTATTGATTTTTCTAAAAGGCTTTTGTGGCCACAGGAACCAATCTGTCTCTCCAGTTTTTTCCGGCCAGCTGGCAGGGGGAGCAGCGACAGACACCGACCCGGGAGTATGTCGACTTTGAAAGAGAAGGAGGCAAGGTAAGAAGGAAGTTGTTGCAGCTGGGAAATGTTTCTTGTGCTTCTGGTCATAGTAATATGAATTGCACCTATGACGTGAAATACTATTTACCGTCTCGGTCGTACGAGTACAATTGAATACCGGTGCGATAACCCCTAGTCTCGCTATTTTGGAGGGAAATGTGGGCAATACCAGTGGCTTCTTATTTTCATAACAGAACCTGATTTCTGTCATCACACTGTGATGAAACTTTACGGGAGCGATTGAAATTGCGTTAGTGTTTTCTGTAGATCTTTCTAGAATGGCGCAGAAATCGGATCTCGGCCAATGATTTGTTGGACTAACAAATTTGCATACTGAGCAGGTTACTACTTTGGGCCTTAGATTGTTACCTGATAAACAGCAAATTGAGCATTTAATTTAGCACAACAAGGACCTCTATTTTTTATTTTTATTTATTTTTAAGCAGTTTCATCATGAACATCTAGAATAAGCCCTGCTCTCAAAGCTAACGACAGAAACCTTGCCTAATCTCATCAGAATGAAGTTACTGGAACTGTTTAGGAATGGTTTTGTCTTACCAAGGGAAGCCATACCTTTAAAAATGTAGATGCTGTGTTCTGTCTGTGCTACTTAAATGCTTTGGGACTGCTCCAGTAATGACTGAAGTCAGTAGTATTTCTGCTGACCTCAGTAGGTTTGGACCAGCATTTAAGCCCCTTTAGCTTTTCTGTTTTATTTCAAACTAGCTTTTTTTTCTTTTTTTTTTTGGTGCAGATTTTAATAGACTTCAACTCTTGCTTCTGCCCATTCTGGTAATAAGTAAAAACTAATATTACCAAGTTTAAGAAACTGGAGGAAATATTTGAAACACACTCTGCTTTAGTGGCATATTGGGTCCTTTAAATGCTTCTAGGTGGCAGATAAATATTTCCTGCAGTAGGAATGCCTGACAGGAAGGAAAAAAAAATACCTGAGGGGCAGATACGGAGTTTGGAATTCAAGTTAATGAGTTTTTTTTGGGAAAATTATTTTCCATCTAGCCCTGTGAGGCTTGCCGAAGGTTGACGAATTGGGGGTGAAGGAGCGAAGTTGGCTCTGCTGGGCACCGACTGCTTTGCTAAGGAAATCGAATTGAATCTGGCTCTCGCTGAAAAATATTGATTCTGGCTCACAATTGAAAGAGGAATTTTTCTTGTAACATGCAAGAAGACTGTAGCCTCTCTTCTTGCCAGTTCAAAAATAATTTTATTTATTTTCATGTTTTTTTTTTAACTTCGTTTTCTCTGAATGAATTCCTAAAGTGCTGAGCTATTCCATCCATTTTCTGGTGCTGCCTCAATCACGTAGGAACCTGGGCACTGCGCATTAAAATAGAACATGACTCTCGTTACCGCCTGCCACTCCCTGTTTTATGTGTATTTACAGTAAATCCGAGACTGCTTCGGCTGGATCCACCGAGCGCGCAGGCTGGTAGAAGGGAATAGTGTGATACTGCTAACGTGAGCAGCTCAAACCCTCCGTGCCCATCCAGCTCTGCCACCCTAAAACCCGTGCGCACGCGGGCTTGTTCCGCGCGGGATTGAGCTAAACCACCCCCAAAACCATCAGCACAGAAGCAAGCAGGGTGGGAGCGTTTCTCGCCTTATCAACCAACAGTTGCCTTTCTTTTATCGCTTGCATGGCCCGAGATTTTTGCTCCCTCTGGATTTTCCAACTTGTCTTTATTAAGAATTTCTTTCATAGGCTGCAGCAGCCTCTGAACTCATCACCATGTGATTTCTGTAGCTCTGTGCAACATTGTTTTATGAGCTTTGATTCTTGAGGCAGTGCATAACGTGTGTTTGTTCATCACTGGATGTAAGCCAGCAAGGCATGTTTTTAATTATATGAATAAAAAAGGCTTTGGGGGGAGCTGTCAGTTAATTATTATTTTAGGCACTAGTTTGAGATCTAGAATGTAGATAAAATTACCAACACTAGAATATTTTTATTCTGGAATTCTGCTTAAGTGTTTGACTAAGCAAGCGGTGGCCCAAAATAGTTTATCCAGAGTTTAAGTATGTCCCTATTGTGCCTAAGCAGTTTTGTACATAGATTTACAAGATTATCAGTGCAATGTTGCTTCTTGATGGTTGCATTTTGGAGAGGGAAAAACCCTTGCACATGAAATCCTGGACTCCATGAATGAAGGTGAATGTTCACTTCATAGGCTCATTTTGTTCATTCTGATATTTCTGAAGTGAGGGATTTTTCTTAGGCTTAGCTTGCCTTTAAATTTTGTACATCTGATGTTCACAGTGGGTGGGTTGTGGGCTTCTAGCAAACACCCTGTCTTCAGTAGTTCAAGAACTGGGTGGCTAAGTTTTAAGCTTAGAAGATGAGAAGAAAAATTATGTTAAATTTAACATTTTTTAAAGATGGTTTTAACATTGTGCCGTTTCTGACATGCAGAAAATTTGCATCCTTTAACTATGTAGTTGAGCAATTTTGCAGGTTTGCTTTAAAGAAATACAAACATCTGGGGGGGAAAAAAAAGGCTCTCTAGAGCCTAGAAATCATAGAACATCATTCTTCCCTGTGATCCTGTTGGATGGTTTCAGGGGCCTCAATCCTGGGCTTCTTGTGTTTCTGGATCTCCTAAGAATATCAAGGTTGCTTAATCCTGTCAGTTGTCAACTGGTATCCAGTCCTTGTTCTTTTCTTAAAAAAAAAAAATATATATATAGCCGTAAAAATAAACTTGCAAAGAAATTGAGGCAAACCCTGCAGAGTATTCTGCTGCCTGAAATCTCATGTCATCTCACCCTGGAATGGTTTGCAGTGTTTTAGTTTCCCCTTGGTTATCCAGTATCTCTAGTTACTAAGACAGCTTTTGCTGTGCTTAGTGCGGTTCTTTCATTTTTGCTTCGGGCTGTAGTTTGCATAGGTGGGAGCAGATTTCCTTTCAATCTTCTAAAATAATAATTTTATTGCAATTCCCCTCTTTTAAGAAGAGCGTAATCGGCTTCTCTTGCTTTGTCCATTTTGCATACCTTTTCCTGCAGTGTAAATTGTCCCTGTCCTTTGTTTCTTAGAGGTTTCTTAGATCTCTCTAGCCTTCCTCACCTGCAAGCGTTTCAGTGCTCGGGCATCCCTTTCTTGCTGTTTCAATGCCTTGACCCATCGTTATGCACAGGGCCCCTCGTGAGGCGTGTGAAGTTATTTTCCTTGCCCTCCCCTTCCTAATGCTATTCTTCATCTCACTTCTAATGCGACTCCGCTTCCTGCCTGCTGTTCGGCAGCAGCTGCTCGTAAACCCGCATCTTCAGCACAGCCTCCTTTCGGTGGGAGATGCTGCAGCCGCCAGGATTCCACAAGAAAGCCCGTCGGATGGAGCGCAAATGGATTCCGACTGTCGGGGTGGCCACATGTGTGATGTAGCCAGGGCTTCTACTCACTGCATTAAACCATTAACTTTGTTCCAGCCTTGAGCAGCAGGATGCATTTTAAAAGAATTCTGAACTTTGGTTTTCTTCCTCTAAGGTGCTGGGTTTCTCCTCATGGACTATTTTTCCTGTAACAACTAGGAAATATGGCTATAACCAGATGATGGTAAATACTCAGATGCATATGAAAAAAAATCATCACAGCACAAAGGCTACAACAGTTTTAAAAAAAAAAGGTAGTGAGAAACAAAAGTTAAATTTAAATTTCTTTCAACAGAGCTGGTTTTACTTTGGGACTTTTCTTCTCACCAGAATTAAGTGGATAGCTTGATAACCAAGACCCCAATCTGAATACCCGTATAAGCCTGTTTCGACCTGTGGTTTTTACTTTGGTTCATGCTGGTGTTTGAAGAATTCGGTGAAAAGCCTTTAATTCATTCAAGTAAAGCTGGGTTAGCAGCTCCCTTGTTTAGTTTCGGGGTTTTTTTGCACACTTTGGAACAAAAAAGGATGCCTCCAAAACTGTTTTAAAGTTTCAGCTCTCGTTTATCTCCACTGTAGTGCTTAAGAGCCCTGTTTCAGGTTCCTGTATTTTCAGTCTGGCAGCATTTATGGGTAAAGCATGGAGATTGCATTGTCACATCTGAAACCTTCTCTCGTTCAGCAGAGTTCCTGGCATGGGTACCCTGCAGGCTGCCGAGTTCAGATCCTGGACCAAAGTGGTTTTGGCTTAATTTTTTTGTCTACGTGTGTGGGAGAGGATATCCAATGCTATTAATTTATAAAAAATGTATGTGGGAGCCATAATATTACTCAAAGATTGTGTTGTGTGTGCCACCCCATAGAGTTAGCTCAGCCCTAAGGTGCATGTGGTCATCACTTTATCTTTGCATATAATCTAATAGTTGAGGTGCTAACAGTCATCAAGACTCCATCCTTTAATTTATCTGTGGTAATTTCATGCTCTTTCAAATTATCATGAGGATCTCGGTTTAAGGTCATTCTGGAGATACTTAGTGCTATGACCCCAAGAAGTTGACTGTCGCCTGGCCAAGTTGACAAAGCCATTTGCCCATGGGGAGGACACATGGGCATGTAAGGTACAATATAAGTGAAAACCTGGCAAATACCAACGTTTAAGGGGACTGTTCGTTCTCATTCCCTTTTCTGCTTATGTGTGTGGGCATCTGAGGAGGACATTCGTGTCGCAGGACTGTCCTGCACGTAGACTGGTCCTCTTGCAGAACCGTCTTGTTGCATTGCCAGTCAAAGCTCAGGAGGCCGAGGCTCATTGTGTAGCTCTGCAGGCTGTTTTTTAGGTTGGTCCTTTAATCCACTGGTGAATTAAGAAAACAATATTTTGGCGGCAGGTTTTTTATTCCGTTGTTGTTCTCCCTCTTTGTCCTAGCTGAACGATGCGAAATTTCTCTTTGAGTTTATTCTCAATTTCCTTCAGGAATGCAGAACTGGCGAGATGTGACTGGTGCCTGTCTACAGTTCAGTGCTTTTATTTATTTAAGAGAACCCTTTTTGCTGGGCTGCCTTGGAAATCTTTGGTGTTAGTATCTGCTGCTCTTGGTCTGGCTGTGTCG